TAAAATTTATATTTTTAAATAAAAAAAATAAAAAATTACCATGTTTTACCTATAACTTAAGCAAAAAAAAGATTCCAAAAATAGAAAAATGTTTCTGACACGCAAGAGTTGACCAAAATTTCTTAAGCCAATTAAACTTTTTAACTCTGTCACGGTGACAGCAATGGGCCAATTAGCTAAGCTCAGATCCAAAGTGGTCCCCATCCTCCGCGCTTTCCTTGAACGTTGCTTCTTCCTCTACTAGTCAAAAAACCAACTCCGATCGAGAAATAAAAACTTGAATCGGAAGAAAATGAAGAGTCATCCTTCGTAAATGCTACGTTTCCTCTGCTGCGGTCATCCACAGCCATCTATTATCTTCTCTACTTTTGGATTTAGGAGCTCCGATCGGGAGACGGAGAAATGGCGCAGAAAAAGTACATAATACAGGTCGAGAACGCAAAGGATGCCGGAGATGGAAGACCGTCCGTTGGACCTGTATATCGGAGTATCTCTGCCAAGGATGGATTTCCTCCTCCGATTCCTGGAATGGACAGTTGCTGGGACATTTTCCGGTGAGATTTTTTTTGCTGCTTTTATTCTGTTCACAGAATCTGTTTGGTTACCGTGTAAATCCGAGAGGAAAAACACAATTTGAATTCCTTACTCCGTTAAGCACTGTGTTTGGATTTTTTCGCGTCCTCTTTCCTTCATCTTTTGAATCAGCGAAGGATAATCTTTGTTTTGAGCGCTTTTGTTAGTATTTTTAAGTATTATTATTGTTTTTGAATTTTTGATTATGTTTGGATCGATTTGCTTAATATGCGAAGTTTTGGATCAACAAACACATCGATCAGGATATATATTCAATATTGTGATTCGCCATGGCTTTTTGTATATGCTGATGCTCTGCATCTGTGATTCTTCTATATCTGTAAACAACTGTAATTATAGAATGGATGAGATCAAAGTAATTTAGAGATTGATTATCAGATGGATGCTTAATTTTCTACTAACTCCTGCTATTGTTCTAATCAACTTGCATTGCTTGAACTCGTAAAAGCTTATATGTACGTGAAAAAATAGAGAAATTTTATTTGCAAGCCATAATTATGGTTTCATTACTCATTACAGCATGTCAGTGGAGAAATATCCTAACAATCCTATGCTTGGTCACCGTGAGATTGTGGATGGGAAGGTATATCTTCCTTGTTTATTTCTTTATTATAATTTTTTTTTGGTTTTTAACAGAATATATATTGTTTCTGCTCCTTTAATATGGTTACCTTTGTTTTCTTAGCTCATGAGAGTACATGTCCCTCTTTTTTGTAGGCTGGTAAATACGTTTGGAAAACTTATAAGGAAGTTTATGACATTGTAATAAAAGTAGGAAATTCCATCAGGAGTTGTGGTGTTGAGGAGGTAAAGGCATAGCCACTGACTTCTCTTTTTCAAAAGTTAACATTAATTTAGACAAATATAGCACGAATTTGAACATAATCCAGATTTGTATCTTAAAATTTTTCTTCTGGCTGGCAGGGGGGAAAATGTGGTATTTATGGTGCCAATTGTCCAGAGTGGGTTATGAGCATGGAGGTATTTTTATTTTTTTTTTCTTCATAATGGTTGATTTATTTATTTACTTTCAACTTTGAGAGAAAAATGTCTGCAGTTTATTATAAGTGAAAAGGATAAAGGTAATTTGTAGAAACTCCTTAATCTTCAACAATGTAAGGCCGCAATGTTGTTTGAGAAATTTCAATATTGTATGTTTCTGGTGAGATTTCTACTTCGTGGTTGATAAAAAAACCTTTTTTCCTCTAATATGCTTTAGATCTCTGTCTGCAGTTTTCCTTATGCCTTTATTCTGTTCGGTTTACATGGTACATTTCTAGCTTCATTTAGATGCCACTCATTGTAACCTGATTTTTCTGAACTTCTGGTTAATATGCTGTGTTGCCTTGGAAGTTGACTGATGCAGCCATATTGTTTCAGGCCTGTAATGCTCATGGACTCTATTGTGTACCTCTATATGACACCTTAGGTATTCTTATTTGTTATTGATCACATGTTACCATGCAAAAAAGCTTTTCCCTATCACCACTTTGAAAGTACCATGATCAAGTGTAATTTTGTCTGGCATTTGATTTTGGAATATGTGAACAACATTCTTTGTTATGTGTTTTCCTATATTTGACCAATTATCTGTATGTTATAGGTGCTGGTGCTGTGGAGTTTATAATATGCCACGCAGAAGTTTCACTTGCTTTTGTAGAGGAAAAGAAAATTCCAGAGGTATCCATATATACTTGTTTTAAATGGTCATTGTGGAAACAAATGGGAAAGAACTTTCTTTTGTTTTGGTTAGTTACTGTTACTAGACATAAGATGTCAAGATATAAAGTAGAATTTCTGTTTATGACTGGCAGCATGGTCTTCTGCACTTACTGCTCAGTTTCATGAAGTTTTGAATTAATCTCGGAATTTGTAATGGTTTTCTTATTTATGGTTTATTTTTTGGTCTTTCAGCTGTTTAAAACATTTCCCAACTCAACAAACTACTTAAGAAGTAAGTTGTAACCCCTCTTGAAGTTTTTCCTTGTACATGTGTACTCCCATGTGTACTAGTACAAAATAATTATGTGTGCATGTATGTTTTCTGCATAGAAATTGTGAGCTTTGGCAAGGTTAGAACTGAACAAAAGGAAGAAGCTGAGAAATATGGTTTGGCTATGTATTCATGGGATGAATTTTTGCAACTGGTATGTTACACTTCTTTATTTTTCTCTTGAAGTTATATGCAAATTTTGTTCCTAGGAAAGTATTTTATCTTTATATGTGAATCTCTAGCAGTCTGTTATTCATCTTTTTATTGCACATATTTAACAAAAGCTTGGGATTCATAATTTATATCTACATCATTGGTTTTAGCTTATCTATTATCATCAGTGAGCTGTATACTTGAAAATAACATGTTGAAAGACTTAGCTGCTTCATGCTATTGATATGATCACTTGGGAGGTTTTCTGCCCTTTTTATGAGTTGAATGTGAGCTAGAAGGTGCAGAGACTACAGATTCTTTGATATGGATATGATCACCTGTTATTATGGGTTGACAACAGGTGTTGTAAAAAGCGTGCCTAGGGGCTTGCCAAGTCCCCCTTTTTTTTTTAAAAAAAAAAAGGGGGATGGGGGGAGAACTCCATCTTATTCTGATTTTTTGGCATTTCTTGAAAATAAAAATGAAAATTGCCTAGGCACTAGGGTTGGTTAACACCTTGCCATCACCTAGTTCTTTCTGCAACACTGGTTAATAAACATCAATAATAAGTTCATTGTAAATGATATAACTTCTCTAAGATGACTTGTTTCATGCAATTGGATTTGTGATGATTAGTGATTCTGATTTCAAGTTATGGATACTGTTTCTTGCAGGGAGAAAACAAACAATTTGATCTTCCTGTGAAAAAGAAAAGTGATATCTGTACAATAATGTACACTAGTGGAACAACTGGCGATCCCAAGGGTGTATTGATTTCAAATGATAGCATTGTTACTCTTATAGGTGGTATAAAACGCTTCCTTGACAGTGTAAATGAAGAGGTGACTTTCTTCTCATTTGCTTACCAGATTCGTCAATGAAAATATTTGCAAAAAAAAAAAAAAAAACCATCTTATAAAGCTCATTTTCAGTCAGATATTTTCTTTGATCTCAGTACTTTCTTTTTCCCTTTTCTTAATATGCTGAATTTTAACATATCATCTGACTCTTTCCTTATATGTGAACTTATATAGTTGACTGTCAAGGATGTATATCTTTCTTACCTTCCCCTTGCACATATATTTGATCGGGTGATTGAGGAGTTCTTTATTTCACAAGGTGCCTCAATAGGGTTCTGGCGTGGGGTGAGCATGATTACCAAATCTTCTTTCACCAGATAAGAGTTCAATAGAGTAATTTCTTGTTGCATTTTCAGGATGTTAAACTGTTGGTTGAAGACATTGGGGAGCTGAAGCCAACAATTTTCTGTGCTGTTCCCCGTGTGTTAGATAGAATATATTCAGGTAAATCCTCTCCTTTTGTGAATATCAAAAAAAGTTTGATTTTGGGAATTTTTCTTTGGCATATTGAGTATCCCTGTGATAACATAAAGGCTCAAGATTCAACATTTTTTCAGAAGAAAGTGGATGTAGTGTATTAGCTAATAGAAATAGTCCTGGGAAGTGGGTTCCCCATAGCATCAGTGTACAATAACATACTAAGCTCCACAGAACAGTGGTACAATAACATACTAAGACCCACAGAACAGGCTCAAGATTCACCATGCTATGCTCAATTCTTGAATTTTGGGGGTTCAATGGACTACCTCTTTCTAAGATTTAGGGTTCAAACTTGATTTGGCATTAAGTTTGTCAAGACACTTAAGGTTATCATTTGGCAGTTAAATACATTGATAAGAAAATGAGAGAACAAAATTGTTGCAAAAAACCATCTATTTTGCAATCAACTAAGTTAATTTAATTTTGTTAAAGTTATGCTATTATGCAGTGAATCTGTGTGATCATCTGTAACGCTGTTGTAGCCACTATGGTATATCAGGTTTGACACAGAAGATTTCTTCAGGGGGCCTCTTGAAAAAGACACTGTTTGACATTGCATATTCATTGTAAGTTACGTTTCATTTTAGTTTTCTCATGGCATCCAATTTCTGTCCATCCAAACATAATGAGGAATAGAAACAAGAAAACCTGTTCTTAGTTTTCCATATCTATCTATCTATCTCATTTGAGTCTCAAAACTTAATTTTAGCTAGAACAGAATCACTGGAATCCTTTTCTTTTCTCTGGTATTTTGAAAATTTAGGGTATTTTCTGATTCATGGATGATCCAATAGGATGCTCCCAATTGTTTTGCATGATGATTTCTCTCATTAGGCTTTCTGTTAGCTCATGTTCTTTTGCATCGCATATTTTGTCCATGCTTTGACTTTGTAGTAATAACCAGCTCAGTAATGTGATTTAAAACAACAATTAGTGATTAGTTTTGTTGCTATCTGGTCTTTACGACTTTACCTGAATTATAATTGCTGCAGCAAATTTTATAAGATGAAGAAGGGGGACAAACATGAAGAAGCATCTCCAATTTGTGACAAAATTGTGTTTAGTAAGGTGATAAACTTATTCATTTGATCCATGAATGCCCCATCTCTCCCACCCTCAGGCCAATAATGAAGAGCTCTGTTTAAGCACATATTGTTGACTCTCAGGTGAAGGAAGGACTTGGAGGGAGAGTGCGGCTTATTCTATCTGGAGCTGCACCTCTCTCTACTCATGTAGAAGCTTTCCTGCGAGTGGTGGCGTGTTGTCATGTTTTGCAAGGATATGGTATGCCACAGAAATTAGTTCTGCTATCAATGCTGTCTGTTCGTTATACTTCAACTCCAATTTATGCTGGTCTCATTCATTGCTCATTGATCTCAACGCAGGTTTGACTGAGAGTTGCGCCGGAACTTTTGTCTCACTACCAAATGAATTATCAATGCTTGGTACTGTTGGGCCTCCAGTGCCAAACGTGGATATATGCCTAGAATCTGTACCAGAAATGGGATATGATGCTCTTGCAGACACACCTCGGGGAGAAATATGTATCAGGGGTAGTACCTTATTTTCTGGGTACTATAAACGTGAAGACCTGACCAAAGAAGTCATGGTGGACGGGTGGTTCCACACTGGTATGCCAGTATTCGCTTCTTAAACCATATTTTTATGTTTAAGTTAACTTGTTTTATCTTTGTTATTAGGGGATATTGGTGAGTGGCAGCCAGATGGAAGCATGAAAATTATTGACCGAAAGAAGAATATTTTCAAGCTTTCGCAGGGAGAGTATGTTGCAGTTGAAAATTTGGAGAACATTTACGGGGTTGCACCTGCTATTGATTCCGTATGCCTCCCTGCTTTTTTTCCATCCAGTTATCAAGTCCACGCACTATAAATACTAGCTGGCTTTTACATCCTACATTTATCGCTTCTGAAAAATGTGCATTATTTTTAAGTCTGCACGTATCCTCTTTCAATTTCAGATTTGGGTGTACGGTAACAGCTTTGAGTCATTCCTTGTTGCTGTCTTGAACCCTAACAAACAAGCACTTGAAGAATGGGCATCGGAAAATGGTTTAGATGGTGATTTTGATTCCATCTGTCAAAATCCTAAAGCAAAAGAGTACATGCTAGGAGAGCTCACAAAGATTGCAAGAGAGAATAAGGTTAGTTTTTTCATGATTTCTGGACTTTGTTTCCCACTGGTTGTGGGGGGAGATAAGATTTGGTGAAGAAGGGACTTTCCTGATATCTTGCAGTTGAAAGGATTTGAATTTATAAAAGCTGTTCACCTTGACCCTGTGCCATTCGACATGGAACGTGACCTCCTGACCCCAACATATAAGAAGAAGAGACCTCAATTGCTCAAATACTATCAGGTAACATCTATTCATGGTTCTCCTCCAACACCTTCACCGAACACCACCACCCCCATCTCTAAAAAAAATGAAGATAAGAAAAGATAGTGTAGTATGGGAACATAATTTTTAGTCAATGGAAAGTAAAAGTGAAATTTGGAAAACAACCCCTCGCTGATGTTTGTAGATGGAGTGGTTTGCAAGTATCTATAAAATTAGTCGGGTCTAAAACTTGAATACACATGTTATCCAAAAAAAGGGGTGAAATTTGAAAAACAACTCCTTTCCATTTTAGGGAGTTGTTTTCCATACAAGGAAAAACAGCACCTAAACCCATGAGTTAATGTACCTATTATTTCTAGGAAATTATCTTCCATAAGCCAAATGGAGCATTACATGGATTATCTCTAACCCAATTTGGTGAAGTAGAGAAAAAGAAACAAGCATATTTCCATGTTCTAATCGAAAATTGGTTTTGTACAGAATGTTATTGATAACATGTACAAGAGTGGTGGCAAGTCCAGCGCATGAATGATACATTCAAGATTGGGTGCTGAAAGTTGGCTTTTCTCCTACTTGGGTAATAATGCGTGTTCTTTGATTATGTTTATCATGATTCTACACGACAGTTATTTAAACGAAACTCGTAAATCAAAATTTATCTCTGTAGAATTGACTTCTCCTCAATACTGTAGAATCTACCTTGCTCAAATTTATTACCAACTTGTTACTAATTTGCCTAATTCGATATCCATGTTTGATGATTTTGCCATTGCTGCTGATTTTTGCCTCTGGTATGGATCTGTACCTTCTCTGTGATTTTAACCAAATAGTTAAAAATTAATAACCAACTACTTGCCCGAATTCTTGCAATTGAAAAGAAAATGGGATCACAGATATTTAAAGAAATTTAGTATTGTCAGCCATAATTGAATTATTAATTAACGAGTAAAGTAGCTTTCAATCCCATCAACTTCAACCCCTTTATGAACTACTTGGTTTTGAGATTTGCTTGGGATGTAGACAATATCACTAGTGATATTTGAGTGTTTCGGCACGAGATTTGAGTGCTTCAGCGGGAGGTATTACACCTTTAGCCCATCCCAAAACTAAAAAGTAGTTTTCAATGAAGGCTGGAAGTTTTTTATTTAAACTCTACACAATTTTGGGAGTGGGACCGAAAAACCCTTCAAGCAAATAATTAATAGTTATACTATTGTTTATAATAAAATTGTATACATATAAGTCTAGTGTTTTATAATTTAAATTGTAAAATATTAACTAAAAAAAAAATCTTCTTTTAATATGAAGAGCCTTTTCTCAATTTAATATAATGACTAGTATTTTGTAATTTTGTACAATTTTGACCACAAATTACATTTTTAATAATTTTATATATGTAATAAAGTAGCAAAGTCTTATATTTTATGTACATAAATAAAATAAATTTCCAATACAGAAATCTAATAATAGATATTCAACAATTAAACATGAATGTTAATTTAAAATTTATAAAAATATCGAAAGGAAAGAAATCCTCTATTGATTATCAAACGAGAAATATATTACTTACCAACATATTTTTCTTCTGCCATTTTCCATTCCAAGAACATTTTTTTCCTTTTTACGACCTCGAGAACCATTTCCATCCCCTAGATTTGTGCAATTCATAGCTAACTAAAGGTTTAAAACAACAAAGTCTAATAATAATAATAATAATAATAATTTTGCAAAAAAGACAGCATAGAGGTTTTGAGCATCAACAAATTCGAACTAAAGAATCTAAGCACGGAAGGAATTGAGAAAGGGCTATTCCACTTGCAGATTCAAAAGAGAAAAAGTATAATAATGAATGCTGCAGAATCTAAGCTGAGCTGCAGAATTTCTGAAGCTAGGAAAAGTGTAATAATGGCGGTTAAGGTAAAATGTCTTATGTTCACACGGCTGCATCCTATATTGGTTCACTACAAATAACCGTTGTTTAAGGAACCATGTTAGATATGTTGCAAAAAAAAAAAAAAAAGGAAAAAAAAAAAAAAGGGAACCATAGATGTACCAAAACAAGTCAAAAATGCAGTTAAAACCTTACTCTTGCTTAGTTAGGATGAGATATTTATTCATTTTGTTCACAAACGGTTAGTAGAAAACATAAATCATTTAAAAGTTGTTATAATTTACAGACAAAAATATGCTCATGATATAGGTCAAAGAGTTAAATTATGGATCAGATTGTAGCTTTGATATTATAAATACCTGTATCATCTGGAGAGTTTAGAGAAAAAGGGGAATGCTGTAGTGCAAGTAGCTCCTCTTTGCCATACTTCAATCTTTCATCTATTTGCACAAAACAAACTGAGATAATTGGATGGAAATAGATAAAATGGCTGACGGAAGAAACATTGCAGTGCAGAATTTTCCTTCCTATAAAAAAACTGAGAAAGGGGCACCTTTTGTTGTTTTCTGTTCCCGCAAGAAGTCCTCAAAGATGGTTGTGATGGTGTTAGAGCTAAATTGTTCTGATGGAAAGAGATGAACAATTTCATGCCATACTTCAATTTGTGGATGTTTTCTTAAGAACAGTGAGATGGCATCTTCAGTTAATAGCCAACAACCCCTCAGGTCCAGCACTCTAAGAGCTGCTGGGGGTCTAAATGAATGCAGGCCACTGTTTGTCAACACAGCCTCACAGACAGCCAGATTTGTCAGCTTTGGGAGAGATACCATGTGATGGAGTGTAGCATCAGTAAGGGAAGCACATTGAAGAGATAAATGACTCAGCCCTTTGCAGCTTGATAAGGGGCTTAAATCCACATCTCTGACTGGTGTCTGCTCCAAACTTAGACTCTCCAAATAATCAAGATTTTGCAGAGACACCAGTGAGCTGACCATATGCCCCTCAGTACCTGCCTGATGAATGGTACCTGAAAGTAGAGAAGGAAATGACAGAACCATGCACATGTATGAATAGTGAATATTACAATCTTCTAACATAATGTTCTTTGATATAGGGAGTAATATCAATATTTGTGATGAAGAAACCATACCTTTAATGTGTGTATTGCTTAAGTCAACAACCTTAAGTGAGGGCATTTTGCTGATATGTGACAGAGCCATATCATCTATTGAAGTGTGAGCTAAAGATAAAATTTCAAGTTTGGGAACATGTCCAGCCAAAATGCTTACTCCAGTGGAGCTGACTTTTGTGCCTTTGAGGTTTAGATATCTCAAATTGGCTCCAATACAAACAATTTGTTCCACAGAATCATCTCCCATCATGCTAGAGCTGAGATCTAAATGTTCCAGCATTTTCATATGTGGTAAAAAGCAGAACCTATCAAGGGAAGAGTTGGATATATCCAGAAACTGTAGGAAACTTTTTTCAATATAGAAAAAAGTTTCAACCCCATCTACGAAAGTTGCTCCAGAGAAAACAAGCTTTGTTAAAGGAGCTTTATCACCAGCACCATGAAGGATGGAGTTTATGGTACAGTAAGTCATGTTTAAGCATTGAATAGATGATAGATTTGGCAAGTTCGTAACACTGGCCCATGCTAGATTGACAAAGCTCAATTTGGGAAATCTTTGAAGAACTGCAGCTCCACTGTTAGAAATTTTACTCCCCCAAAGGTCAAGGTACTCAAGCTTTGCAAGTAACTAGGACAACATTTCCAATAATAAATCATTTGAATGTGGAAAAACTTCTGGTCTAATATACATCTTGGCCATAATCTGAGGGAGCAATCTTTTGAAATGTAAGACAATTGACCCAAAGCAGAAATTGACAAGCACATTCAACTGTAAGGACAGATAACCAAGATCATCTAGTTTTTAGTATTTTACAAATAATTTCATCTGCTGTTAAGGTGGGAACCAAATGAAACAATAACTAAGAGCTCCTTTTGGCTGATCAAAAAAGGAAACAATAACTAAGACCTTATCTAACAAAGTGTTTATAATGTTAATACATAAGGAATACAGATCACCTAAGATTTCACTATAAGTTCTACAAATGAATAAATGATCAGCTAATTCACGCATAAGATTCCATAATAACTAAGGTATATGGATTGTCACAAACAATAACAAAATTTAGAAGAGGATATTCTAATCCAGAGCTAGATCAAGCAAGCATATGGTGGTCATGGTCAGCAAAAAGAGGAACATAACCAATACAAAAGCTACTGAAAAACGAACATATTGCTGCAAAGTCTAGTACCTGGAGAGAATTCAACGCCTTATCAGTGACTGGTAAACCACCCAAGTCTAGTGTGGACAAGTTCTTAAGTGAAGAGAGAAGTGCAACACCATCTGCAGTCAGTCCAGTTTCTCAAATCCAAAGCTTTTCCAAAGTCGAAATGGATACAAGATGACTAACACCAGCATCAGTAACCTTCATGCATCTAGAAAGGTCCACTTCCTTTAAATTGGTCATCCCTAAACCAGGCGACACAGAACTTGTGTTAAAAATTCTTCAACAACATAGTTAATGGTGGAAAACAGTTGGCAGCCTTTTCCACCATGATAGAAATATAAGTTATGAGAGAAGCAATGAGGAATCCTTTTTTCCCTCAAGAATTGGACTTTTTCACCAACATATTACCTTTTATATGAAGAGATTTCATGTACAGATTACCAAGGAACTATTGTCTTAGCTCATTCTATTGATTTGTATCCAACTCATATGATTCTTACCTGCTATAGCCCAAAGAGCAGAATCAGTGATTCCATGGCAATCTGCAAGGCCAAGGTAGCATAGATAGCGGAATGCTACTAAATATGCCATCCACTCTGCATCCACAGACTTCTCACCTCTAAGATCTATCTCCTCCACACTCTATTTGAAAACTCTACAAGAAAAATCTAGCTCAATTTCAACTAAGCATATAAACTTTCAAGAAATTTATCACAGCTAACACCTCGCAGAGGATTGCTACTAGATTGACCAAAAAGAAGGCAGAAGACTGCTACCATATTGCAATTAAAAGAAAAAAAATAAATAACAGTACAAAATTTGAAATCCTATCTAACCTGCTGCTAGGCACAAAAATGAACAAGAATCTGGCAAAAATTCATATTCATAACTAAGAAGAGAGTTGAACTGAAATAAAATAGAAGCTATACAAACTTCAATCACTGCAACGGAGCTGAGCATCAAGCAAACAACGCAATGATATATTGAATCTCAGAAACGCATTTCGTTCAATTCTATATAGTCCGATCAAGGCTATTTTTCCATATTCTGTGAAATTATTTCGAAGTTCAAGCCGAAACTAAAATTTTCAATTCCTAACTCTAGAAAACAGAATTCAAAATAATTCAATCTCATCTCTATTCTATTTAGATTGAAAACAAAACAATATCATGGAATTCGAACTCTCTCAGAAAAGTTTCCCCGCACTTTCTCAGCCAAACAGGAACAAAAAGAAAAAAGAAAAGCAAATGAAATAGAAAATTGAACGAAGAATCCTGATTCTCCTACTTAGTTTTACCTCGATCATCAACATACTTAAAGCCGAAAAAGAAAACTAAAGGAAGAAGAGAACGTACTCGAGCAAGGAAGGAAAGAGGAGGCGGCGATGGAGGAGGCGCTGAAGGAGAGATTGCGCAAGGTGAGAAGGCAAGCGTTCGAGAGTTCTCCTTGGCTCGGCCATTTCTCTACGCTCTCTTTGCTTTTGCAAGCTGCTTCTAAACACAGCCTCACCAAATCAGTCTCCTTCTCCATTTTGATCTTCTTCACCGACCGGCGATCGGATTCTGTCTCTTCTCCTTTTTCTCTTCGATCTGTATGTAAATGAGGAGGAATTTCAATGATGAATGGGACTGAGACCATTGGAATAGCTTATATACACAGCCTTACAAGGGTAAAGCAATCGCCCAATCTAATTTATTTCCGCTTAGTGGACTATTTTGAAATTTCATCCGCGGAAGTGCCGCTCTGCTAAAAATTTCAGGAAATAGCCAAAATATAAATAAACGAATAAAATTTGGTATTTTAATATCAAAAAATTATTTTACAGAACAGATTGTATACAGTTCATTTTATAAAATTAATTAAATATTTTTAAAAAAATAATATAAAGATCAATTTAAAAATATTTAAGTAATTTTATAAGATAGACTGCATACATTCTATCATATAAAATAATTTTCCTTTTTAATATTTTTAATCGGAAGTGATATATTTTAATTTAGAGATTCATGTTTTCTGTATGCATTTTTTTGGGTGTAATTTTGGTAGTAAAATTATTAAAATATTATTAATAAAATAAACATGAAGGAAAATTTTATGAAGGGTGCTTTGATAATTTTTAATATTCATATTGCACAAAAAAAATACAGTTTACATTGAAAAATATTGTATTATTTTTAATGTAGTAACTTTGCTTTTTTCGGAGGGAAAAAAAAAAGAAGGAATTTTCCAAATTTTAAAGAAGGTACTTAAATTTATGGAAAAACTAAAATCTGAATACTCATGGTTCTTCTCCAGATTTGTCGCATTAGGTAGTTTTTGTACATAATTTTCATATAAGAGCACTAAATTCAGAGGGGAGGTATAAGGAGAGGTCCGAAGTTCATCTCAAGGCTCAAGGTCTATGAGCTGAAAATCTGAATTCTGAAAGCACCAATTCCATTTATATATGGGAAATATAAATTGCTGCAAAGCTTACAACATCGAAACACCAAAAAAAAAAAATGGGGTGGAAAAAAAGGGCTATCAAAAACTACTTTGAACAGGAAAATAACATACTCTTTGCAAACAATTGAGAAGTCATTTTCCTGTGCTTCTCAATTTCTCCCTTTTCCTCTGAAATCAATCTATTTAACTAGTGAAGAGGAGGAGAAAGAGGATGAGCACTCCTTTTCAAACGTCTCTTCACTCCTTCCATCCTCACATCTTCATCCTTATTTTTACCTACTATCCTCTAAAACCCTGAAAAATCGAAAAAGAAAAACCTTTTCAGGACTTCACTCTGTATATTAGCTGCACAAACTTCTTTCACAATCCCAGAAACTTTTTGGATTTCTTTCTCTTCTGTGATTTTCTTCCTCATGCCAAAGTGTAGCTTGAAACTGAAACATCTGCTGCAGAAGCAGGATGGATGTACACGAACTCAATACTCTTTCCAGCCGGTAACTCTTTGATCCAAGATGGGAAAGTATAAGCATTGCCAGATTTTGTGAGACCCCATAGGGGACCATAAAGTTTTGAGATCGAAAGCTTGAGGTCCTTTAGGGTCT